ACTAAGGGTCCAATAATGTGATGTCAATAATACATGAAATTGTGGATTTCTATAAACATGATTTTAATCAAATAGAAGGAAACAAATAAACAATTATTTCATTTATAGGAAATTTCCAAAATTCCTATTCATTATTTATCCAAATATTCTCAAGCCAGGAAGAGGCAATAACAACTTTAATAAGTTCAAGGCAGCAATACAAGCATGCGCAAATCATGCCGAGGCGTACGGCCCGTTCCAATAGAAAATAAACTGTGCACTGCCGAGGGTCGAACGGCGCGAACCATAGATGCATCTATTACCCCGCTCGCGAAACTATCCATGTGACGCGGTCATCATGAATAACCAATCCCCTGCTCGTGAATCATATGTGCGACGCAGGTACACATAGAAATACATGCTCAGATAGCCAATTAGGAATTTATCGGGGAATATTTATTCAAATAAAAAGCCACTTTTCTCTTTTAACAATTTAAGAGAAGAAGTTTAATCCTTTTTTGAAATTATTTAATTAATTCGATTGGTTTAAGCAATTCGAGCTGTCAATAAGTTTACAATTAATCAAGTATAGCATGCTTTTGGGTCCTAGACTACCCGGACAATAGCATATAGTAGCTACGCACGGACTCTCGTCACCTCGTGCGTACGTAGCCCCCACAAATAGGAGCACATAACCAATTAATTCACCTACGGGGAAATTCCCTCTTACAAGGTTAGAAAGGAGACTCACCTCGCTCCGAAGATCCATAACCGGCATTCCACGCCCTTCCGAAGACTCAAATTGATGCACAACACTCCAAAACTAGCCAATAGTTATGCAAATCCATTAATATACGATAAACTACTCATATTAATCCAATTTATAACAATTCCTACCCCCGATTGGAAAGTTGACAAAAATGCCCTCGGGCACGTGCCCGGATTTCCAAAATTTTTCGAAGAATAAGTTTACCATAGCCTCACGAACTAAATATATAATTTTCTCTAATTCCATACCCAAAATCGTGGTCGAAATCCAAGAATACTAATTTTCTAGGTTTTCCCTCAACCCTCAATTTCACCAATTTACATGCTAAAATCCATACAAAATCAATATATTTAACTCAAGATAGGTGGGGTTAGCTCCTTGTCGTTGATGACGAAAAACCCCACTTGAAGCTCTCAAAATCGCCCATACCAAGAGAAAAATGAGAGAAAAATGGCCAAATCCCGACTTTAAAACAACCCCACTGCCTCCAGCACTTTTTTGCATCTACGGAAAAATGACCGCATCTGCGGAAAAATGACCGCATCTGCGGAAAAATGACCGCATCTGCGGTTCCTTCACTTCCAGCCCAAAACCGAATCTGCGGCTCCCTTGGCCGCATCTGCGGCTCCGCACCTGCGGCCCAATTCTTGCAGGTGCGGTTATGACAGCAACCAGCAAGTTCAGCCTTTCCAAAATTCCATTTTCGATCCGTTAACCACCCGGAATCCACCCGAGGCTCCCGGGACCCCAATTAATCATGCCAACCAGTCCCAAAACACATTACGGACTTGCTTGAGGCCTCAAATCATATCAAACAACGCTAAAACCACGGATCGACCTCCAATCCAAGCTTTATGAACTTTAGAATTTCAACTTCTACTTTCGATGTTTAAACCTATCAAATCACGCCCGATTGACCTCAAATTTCGCAGACAAGTCATATTCGACATTACAGACCTACTCCAACTTTCGGAATCGGATTCTGACCCCGATATCAAAAAGTCCACTTCCGGTCAAACTTCTCAAAAACCTTCAGATTTCTATCTTTAGCCAAATGACTCCAAAATGACCTACGGACCTCCGAATTCACTTCCGATCGCGCTCCCAACTCCAGAATCACCATATGGAGCTATTCACAGACTCGGAATCCCAAACGGACATCGATAACACTGAAATTCACTCCAAGCCAAACTTATGAAATTTCTTCCAAAATGCTAACTTCCACTATAGGCGCCAAAACGCTCCCGGGTCATCCAAAACCCGACACGGGCATACGCCCAAGTCCGAAATCATCATACAAACCTGCCGGAACCTTCGAATCCTGATTCCGAGGTCATTTACTCAAAAATCCAATCTTAGCTAATTCTTTTAACTTAAAGCTTCCGAAATGAGAATTCTCTTTCCAAGTCAACTCCGAACTTTCCAAAAATTCAATTCCGACCACACGTACAAGTCATAATACCTGAAATGAAGCTGTTCATGGCCTCAAACTGCTGAACGATGCACTAGATATCAAAACAACCGGTCGGTTCATTACAGAATTTGAGGTTTATTTCATAGATGTTGATGTTATTTTGATGATTTGATCGCACGAGCAAGTCTATATGANGCATGTTTGGTTTGGAGCCCCGAGGGCTCGGGTTAGTTTTGAATAGGCCACAGAGTGCATTTAGACTTGGAAAATAACTGTTGCAGGTTCAGAGAAGTTGCAGGTCTCTGAACCAGGCTTTGCGGTCCGCGGTGGGGTTATCGCGACCGCGGTGGGCTCTTCGCGACCGCGGTGGGATTGATGCGGTCCGCGGTGAGCAAGGCCAGGTCTTCGCGGCCGCGCTCGATATTTCGCGGTCCGCGGTGGAGCTCCAGGGTCGCGGTCCTTTTCATGCGGTCCGCGGTGAGGGTCTGAGAGGAGTATATAAACGGGACTTTTCAGCCATTTTTCATTTTTCAAAAACCTAATACATAAGAGGCGATTTTTCAAACACTCTTTCTTCCCCATAACACAAGTAAGTGATTTTAAACTCATTTCTTTTACTCCTTAACTTCTTTTTACAAGATTTCATCCTAGAATCTAAGGTTTTCATGGCGGAATTGAGAATTTTGGGTAGAACTTAGGATTTTCAAATTTTGGAGATTTTGATTTTGATTTGAGGTCCAATTTCAAAACAAATTATATATTTGAGTTCGTGGGTGAATGGGTAATCGGGTTTTGGTTCGAACCTCAGGTGTTGACCATGTGGGCCCGGGGTCGATTTTTGACTTTTTGGAAAAAACTTTAGAAAACTGATTTTCATGCATTAGAATTGATTCATTTAGCATTTATTAATAATATTAATTAAATTATGGCTAGATACAAGCGAATTGGTGGTGGAAACAAGAGGTGAAGCGGTAGTTGAGGCTTGAATTGTGTTCGTGGCATTGAGGTAAGTGTTTGGTCTAACCTTAGCTTGAGGGATTAGGGGTTGTGTCTTAATTTGCTATGTGTTAATTGTTGAGTACGACTTATAGGCATGGTGACGAGTATCTATACGTCGGTGTCAAGCATGCCCGTGAGTCTTATACTATGATAAATGTGACTCCATTTCGCATTGTTCATGCTTTATATGATGATTTCTATTGTTGAACAAGGCTTGTGAAAGTATTATTGGTAATTGAACATTGTAGAGCGTTGGCTCAAGTTGTGAATTGAGTTGTGGAAGTATTATTGGTACTTGAACATTGTAGAGCGTTTGCTCAAGTGGTTAATTGAGTTGTGGAAGTATTATTGGTAATTGAAAATTGTAGAGCGTTGGCTCAAGTTGTGAATTGAGTTGTGAAGTAATATTGGAAAAGAGAAAAGGGTTATGAAATTATCTCCCTTGCCGGGATGTTATTGCTTTTGATATTATCTCCCTTGCCGGGATGTTATTGCTTTTGATTATTGTTTTCCTTGCCGGGATATTGTTGTTATGCTATTGTTCCCTTGTCGGGATTTCATTGTGAATTTTATTGATTCCCTTGCCGTTATTGCTTTGTGATTGTTGTTTGGGTAAGGAAGAGTGTTAAAGCACGAAGGGTGATGCCGTGCATGATATTTGTGAGAGACTGTTAATGCACGAAGGGTGATGCCGTGCCGATATTGTGAGGTTAAAGCACGAAGGGTGATGCCATACCGCACGATGTACAATGCCGTGCCATGATATGAGTGATAATGCACGAAGGATAATTCCGTGCCATGATTGTGTGAGGTAAAAGCACGAAGGGTGATGCGGTGCCGGTTATATTGATTCTTATGGTGAGGACGAGAGTAAAAGCACGAAGGGTGATGCCGTGCACTTGTCTTTGATTTTCCGATTCTTGCTGATAACTGAGTTATGGTGTTCTTTACGGTTATTTATTGGTTTTCTGTTGCTACTTGATTTCCCCGCAGTATGTTTTCCCCCTCCTATCTTTACCTGTATAATTCTGCCTTTATTTTTCCGATGTATATGATTTAACTGCACAGGTTTATTTGGTAGTTTGGTCCTAGCCTCGTCACTACTTCGCCGAGGTTAGGCTAGGCACTTACCAGCACATGGGGTCGGTTGTGTTGATACTGCACTCTGCACTGTGTGCAGATCCCGGTGCCGCAGCTTTTGGACCACAGTGAGGTTGCTGCTTCCAAATCGTCAGGCGACCCGAGGTAGTCCTGCAGGCGTCCGCAGGCCTTGGCGTCTCCTTCTATCATTTTCTTTCTGTTTTTACTTATTCCGAGATAGATTTGTGTAATTCTATTTAGACCTTATTTGTAGTATTCTTAGACAGTCTGTGAGATTGTGACACCAATCCTGGGTAGAGTTGTACTTAGACTTCCGCAGTTTGTATTAACCTAAATTATCAAATTTCATCTTCCGCACTGTTCTTTTGTTATTATTATTTCCACTTCTTTTATTATGTTGTTTTGGAATTGTTAAGGGATTTAAAAATGAAAATGGTTAAATAACTGGAATAACTGGCTTGCCTAGCTTTCACTAGTAGGCGCCATCACGACTCCCGAGGGTGGAAATTCCGGACCGTGACAGTACCAATTTATTATACTCAATATCTAGTATGTAATTTTATTTTTATTCTTTTTTAATGTGCTTGCATGTAACAATGATAACACTGATTTCTAATAATATGAGTGATTAATAGTTGAAATTTTTTCCCTTGATGCTCTTATTTTTTGTATCTTTCTTATTTATTTATTTAGTTCTCTATTTGTTTAATATTATTATTAACCACATGTTCTTAATGCATGAAAGAAAATGAGCAAGAAATAACATTGGATAACAACTCTGAGAAGGCTAAATGGGATGCAGAATCTACAGAACTATTTTTAAATATATGTGTGGAAGAAATTTTAGCAGGAAATCGTCCTGGAATTCACTTCAGTAGATTAGGATGGTCTAATCTGGTGCAAAAGTTTAATGACAAAATCGGAAGAAACTATGATAAAGTTAAGTTGAAGAACAAATGGGACAACCTCAAAGGTACATGGAAAGAATGGGATACTTTAGTTGGAAAAGAGACTGGTTTAGGATGGGATCCCAATAAAAAAATAATTCAAGCGAGTGTAGATTGGTGGGATAGGAAAATAAAGGTACTTGTAATTCTACTACGTAATTTTCACTTAACATAATTTTATTTATTTATTTATTTTGCTTTGGTATTTTAAATTCTCATGTTCTTCTTCACATTTGTAGGAAAATTCAAATGTAGAGAAATTTAGAGAGAAAGGTTTACAACATCGACAACTGATGGAATATTGTTTTAAGGATGTTGTTGCAATCGGTGAACATGCGTGGGCACCGTCATCTGGAGTGTTACCAGATGGTATACAAGGAAGTAGTTGGTTTCAACCAGAACAACCATTTGAGTTTGGAACTCCTGTAGACAATGAAGAGTTTATGAATATTGATGGCATAGAAAAGAATACGGAAAAAGGATTCGAACAAACTAATCCAGAAGAATCGAATGTGATTGAAAAAGTGCGTGGTAGTGAAAGTGGAGAGAGAAGAAAAAGAAAAGCATCAACTGCTATAAATGAAAAGGAGAAAAATAAATTCAATACCAGTCTAAGAATTACATCATCAATAGAGAAAATTGCTGAAGCAATACAATCACGCTCTTAAATGAATATGAGGTCAAAAGACCTTCACTTAGTATTAAGTATGTAATGGATGTTGTTCGTAATTTACCCGGTATGATTGTTGGTAGCNGATTTATGGTGGAAAGCAAGTGTGCTACTAGTCAAGCAACCAATGAGAGAAATATTTTTAGCACAAGAAGATCCAGAGTTACAATTGCAGTGGTTGGAAAAGATGTCTGAGCTTCAAAAAGAATAAATTTAATTATATTACCTATTATTATCTGCATTTTATTTTTTTCTAGTTATTGAAACTTTATATTTGCTTTAAAATGTTGTTCTAGTTATGCTTTATGGTTATTGGAATCTAAATTTGACTTTTATTCAATTTACTAATATTTATTTTGAAATATTGGAATTTTATGTTGTTGTACTTAGGTGATTTTTGTTTTTTTTTATAATAATTATATAGATTGTTATTCAAGTAATTTTATTTTATTCTTTTTTCTTACAGATATGTCATTCACTGTAAATAATGATGAGCATGTTGACGAAGTTCTTATAAATGAAGTAGATGGCGATGATGATGTACTTGATTTGGTAATTTTCAGTGTAGCTCTCGCATCAGAATATTATTTAAAATGTTGTCTAAAAACTCCATGCAGAACTTATCCTCATACCGAATTTTATTTCATCAAGGAGATGCTTGAAGGGCATGATAAGAGATGTTATGAGATGTTTAGGATGGAAAAATATATATTTCTTGACTTATGCAAAACACTAAATGAACAATATGATTTGAAAGCAACAAGAAAAATGACCATAGAGGAGATGGTTGCTATGTTTTTACTGGTGGTCGGACATGGTGTAGGGAATCGAATGATTCAAGAACGATTCCAACACTCTGGAGAGACTGTTAGCAGACATTTTCATCATGTTTTAATAGCATATTTGAAATTGGCTATGGATATTATTAAGCCAAAAGATCCAACCTTCGGAGCTATAGATGGCACACACGTACCTTGTATTGTTCGCTCTAAGGAACAAATCAAATACATTGGTAGAAAAGGCTTCACTTCACAAAACATAATGGTTGTATGTGATTGGGACATGTGCTTCACATTTGTATGGCCTGAGTGGGAAGGTACTGCACATGATGCTAAAATATTTGATCAGGCACTTAGAAGGCAAAACCTTAACTTTCCTCATCCTCTATCAGGTAAGCAACACTAATACTATGCCTTGTGTTAGTTTAATATGTAGATTTTATTTTTATTCATCTTAATTAACTCATTTTTACTTGGTGTAGGCAAATACTATTTTGTTGATTCAGGCTATCCAACAACGATGGGTTATTTAGGACCGTATAAGGGTGAGCGATATCATCTCCCGGATTTCAAGCGCAACTCTAGTTTTAGAAACCAAATGAAACATTCAATTTTTTTCACTCCAGTCTTCAATGTACAATTGAAAGAACATTTGGAGTCTGGAAAAATAGGTTTTCTATTTTACGCTCAATGCCATCTTTCAAGTTTGACACTCAGATTCATCTTGTTACAACTACCATGGCTATACATAATTTCATCCGACGACGATCTTCTACTGATAAGGAATTCAACTATTATGCTAATGAAGACATACCTGCAGAGATTGAGGAAGGGGATGGGCCTTCTGGTATTCCTTTAGAAATGAAAGACAAGTCTTCTACTATTATGGAGGCGTTGCGTGATAGAACTAGAGATGAAATTATTGAGAAATATTATCATGTGTAAGTGACTTTGCTTATTATTTCATGGTGTAAATAACAAGTAATTATACTAGATAATATTATTGCTTTGGTATAACTATATATGTTACAATGATTTAAATACTTAGTATGTATGTTTACTTTATGTTTATATTTTAATTAAATTAAATAAAAAATAATAACAGTCTCTTATAATAAATATTAAAATTTATTTTCCTTTTAAAATAATTATAAAAGTTTGGTACTATCCTTTTTGGTAATTTGACACTCAAAAGTACTTTTTATAAAGATTGGCCAAACACAATTTGTTTATCAAATATTGTAAAAAGTACTTCTTAAATGAATTGGCCAAACACAAATTATTATTTTTCAAAAGTACTTTTGAAAAAAGTACTTTTAGAAAAAAGTACTTTTCAAAATAAGCAGATTTTGGCAGCTTGGTGTGACGACCCGGCCGGTCGTCTTAAGAATTAACGCCCCGATCCCCTATTAACTGCTTCCCCTTATTTCATTTCTGCTAATTTGGTTTGCCGGGACGTTCGGTGTTGAGTTTCGGAGAGTTTTGGGACACTTAGTCCCTAAATGAGAGCTTAAGTGTTGAAAAGTGATCCGTAGTCGGAACAGTGTGAAGACGACCTCGGAATGGAAATCCGATGTTCCGTTAGCTCCGTTAGGTGATTTCGGGGTTGGGAGCGTGTTCGGAATGTATTTTGGAAGTCCGTAGCTCATTTAGGCTTGAAATGCCGAAATTTGAATTTTTGAAGTTTCCGGTCCGATAGTGAGTTTTTGATCCGAGGGTCGGATTGGAATTCCGGAAGTTGCAGTAGCTTCGTCATGTCATTTGGGATGCGTGTGCAAAATTTCAGGTCATTCGGACGTGTTTCGGTTAGGTTTTTGATCGAAAGTGTATTTTGATAAAATTCGAAGTTCTTAGGCTCAAATCCTTGTTTAATTCGAGTTCCGGCGTTGTTTTAGGTGGTTTAAGGATTGGTACAAGTTTGAATGAGGTATTAGGTGTTATTGATGCTTTTGATTGAGGTCCCGGGGGCCTCGGGATGATTTCGCGTGGTTAACAGAGAAAATTTTGAAGTGTTGCAGCAGCTGATTCTTCTCTTCTGGTATTTTCGCTTCTGCGGCTTGGGAACCACAGAAGCGGAGCCGCATAAGCAGCCATCCCATCACAGGAGCGGAATTTGGGCTCCCTCAGCTTTCCGCAGGTGCGGAAGATTAACCGCAGATGCGGTTACGCACCTGCGAGACTTCTATCGCAGATGCGGCCCTAGGTCATTTGCGAGAAACCGCAGAAGCGGTAAGTATTTCGCAGAAGCGGCCACCGCAGGTACAGTTTAAGACCATAGAAGTGGAACCCCTGGATTTTAGTTAATAGCCGCAGAAGCGGCATTTGTTCCGTATAAGCGGGACCGCAGATGCGGTCCCTTGTCCGCAGAAGCGGAAATGCCTGTGCAGATATAGAAATTTCGAGGGTTAGTTTTCATAAATTAGAAAAATCAAATTGACCTCGGGGAAGGGCGATTTTTAGAGGGTTTTGAAGAGAAGACTATTGGGTAACGTTTCTTTAATCCCTTCTAGTTATATTTCAGCATTTTGTAGTTAAATCCATCATTAAAATTCGAATTTGGGATCAAAATTTGGAAAAATTGGGTGAAACTTCATAGGCTAAACTATTGGGGTTTTTGAGTGGGTGTTTGACCTCCGATTTGAGAGATTTTTATATGGTTAGACTCGAGAGAGTATGAGGGTTCTGAAAATGTAAAAATTATTCGATTCCGAGGCGTTGGCCTGAAGGGAATTTTGGTCATTCCACCTAATTTCACGCCGTAGCTTTGAATTAAATAGCAAAACCAGTTGTTTGCGATGTTATTTACAATGTGTAATTGAATTGAATAGATTTGGGCCATTTGGAGTCAGATACTCGTGGCAAGGGCGTAATTTCTAGTTGATTTTGAGCCGGTTCGAGGTAAGTGGCCTGTCTAACCTTGTGTGGGGGAGCTTTCCCCTTAGGTTTTGTTATTTGATATTTGAGTGCCTGGTACGCAATGTGATGAGCGCGTACTTGAGCCAATTGTTGAAAATCCAGTTTTTACTTAAGATATTGAGACTGAGCCTTCCTTCATATTTGCCTTATTGTACTTGGAATTATAACTTGTGTTAGATTAGAAAAGCATGTTTAGTTGATCCAATTTGCCTAATTGTTTAAGTTGCCTTGACTGAACTACGTGAAGCATGCTAGGCTAGTACTACCTGTTGCTTGTCTTCGTACTTCCTTTCTTAGTATCTTCTGGCTGTGGTTGCGCATTTATATTGGGACTACGGATGTGGGATTTCGGTAGCTCCCCCCTTGTTTGTTTACTTTGGGACTGCGTGTTCGATTCCCGATAGATCCCCCTGCACATTTACTTTGGGACTGCGGGTTAGATTCCCGATAGATCCCCTTGTACATTTATTTTGGGACTGCGGGTTAGATTCCCGATAGATCCCCCTGCACATTGATAGCTGGACTACGGGATGGTATCCCGGGAGATCCTTCGGATATACACATATGATGGACTATGGGACGGTATCCCGGGAGATCCACTGGACAGTTGAGAAAAGGACTACAGGACGGTATCCTGGGAGATCCTCATTGTTACCATTGGTATTAAGTTGTACTTATTCTGTGGTTGTTCCGTTCTTTGTGTATTTGATATTGCCTTGTTTAACCTGTCTTATCTCACTGCTGTACTCGTTATTATTGTCAGTTTTTCATACTGTTAATTTATTATTATATTTTATCTCAGTAGGGCCCTGACCTTCCTCGTCACTACCCAACCGAGGATAGGCTTGGCACTTACTGAGTACCGCTGTGGTGTACTCATGCCCTTCCTGCGCATGTTTTTCATGTGCAGATCCAGGTACCTCCACTCAGGCGCACTATCCTTGAGGCGAGGAGAGCTACAGAGACTTTGAGGTATATCTGCAGCGTCCGCAGACCAAAGATTATCCTTCCTTATTCTATCTGTAGTGTTTAGATTCTACCATACTTTTGATGTAGACATTCCGGAGATTAGAGCATTTACAGTATTTCTATTAGCCTGTGGTTCCCGTGAGTTTCCGGGTTTTGGGATTGAGTTGTAGACTTCCGCATTTCTTTTGAGTTGTATAGGCCGGGCAGCCTTATATGCAGTTATTATTTTAATATTTTTAGCTTTATTTAACCATTTCGCAAGTTAGGTTGTTATTTCCGCATTGTTAGGCTTACCTAGTTGTAGGAACTAGGTGCCATCACGACATGTTCATGG